CAGGCCGTGCGTGAGCCCAGCCAGCTCGATGCTGTTGCGCTTCTGCAGCTGGGCGTGGCGCGCCGCAGTGAGGGGCTCGCTGACCTCCTGCAGCGAGTGAGCCACCGGCAGGCTGTCCTCCTGGAAGGTCTGCACCGAGTGGTGCACGCGCCGCGTGATCAGGTCGGGGTTGCTGCTGCTGATGTACAGGTGACGGGACAGGTCCGGGGTGCTGTTGGCCGGCCTCGGGTAGGGGTACGGCGGCGGCGGGCGGTACACCTGGGTGCGCATGATGTTGGGAGCCGGGTAATCCTGGGCCTGGAGCTGCACGTTGGTCAGCTCGGGCACGCTCACTGCGCCCACCACCGGCCGCCTCTCTGCAGGGTAGGGGTAGGGCGACTGGCCGTGGAAACTGCAGTTCAGATTGAACGCGTAGTGAGCAGACTGCGGGGAGGCGAAGTGCGCGTGCTCCCGGATCTCAGGCTGGCTGTAGACCAGGGCGTCGGGCCTGCTGTATGCGTAGGAGTTGCCAATGTTGAGGTTTCTCAGCGAGTGGCTCTGCCTCTCCGCGTGCGCCATGCCCCTGTTGAGCTGCTTCATCACAGTCTCGTAGTCTGGGGTGGGGCGGTAAGAAGGAGGTATCAGGGCGCTGTGACGCTGCGATGGGATGTAGTCGGGTCTCGTGACGTCACTTCCGGTTATGCTCGGGTTGGAGGACATGGGGGAGGGCTGCAGGTAGGTCTGAGGGTTGTTCAGGGAGTTGGTGCTGTGTGCGCTGTAGACGCTGCCATTGCGGATTCGACCACTGACGTCCATCTGGGCTCTGTCCAAGCTTGTCTGGGAGTGACAATAATATCCGTTGTGGTTGGGCACAAAGATGTTATCTGGAGGAGAAAAAGTTTGCAAATGTACTTTGAAATGAGATTTTAAAATGTATTAAATGGGGCCATCTACTCTAGGTAAATATTGAGAAAGGCCCTGAATTTGGATGACATTTTCAACACAGCCTGTAAACATCCTTGCTAAATGAACCAGTGAACCAGCTCTACTCATGCTATCTGAGCTTGGCTCTGCCACAGTGGGTGTAAGGTTGGGGTTCAGGATCTGGTACCTGATAAAGTTTGGCCTCATCTAAACCAGGTATGGAGGGTAACCCTGTGACAAAACAATGTCTTTTTCTCAAAGTTAAAAGCATCCACTTCACAGGTGGGGGATTCAACTCAGTGGCACCACACCTACCTGGGGAGTGCAAGGTCCTGAGTTCGATCCCCAGTACAAAAAAAAAAAAATCTACTTCATCAGAAACACAAAACAGACTTTTTGGAACTCCACAGAACTGGAGGCAGGAATGTTGCTCAAGGTCCAGAATTAGTGACTCTGCTGTCTCCCTGGGTGGCAGTGTGGCCTGCTGATGCTGAGCTAGTTCCAGCTGCCCAAAAACATTTCCTTTACTGGGGTTTTAGACTGCCTGCACTACATCAGTTTTTCCAGAATGAACGCAAAACTTCCATATGAAAGCTTCAAAGTGTTGTTGGTAGCTACACAACTCACTAGGGGCCCAGAGGCCAAGAAGAACCAGGCTAAGACAGCTGTAGCTGATGTCTGCCCTGGCCCCACATTCCAGTAAGGCTTGGGTTCAGGGCTCACAGAATCAGTGCTGTATGTGTGTTCCTGTCCCAAGCTGGAAGGGGCCATGTTTCTTCCAGCTAATCTGTGGCTCACCTGGATCTCCTTACTAATGAGTGGGACTAACAAAACTTCAAATAAAACTCAACAGACAAGCCCTTCGGAGAACAGTTTCCTTTGATAAGCATTCTTTGGGTGCTTTGAAAGCCCCACAGTATTTAAGTGACAACTGATTATCAAAATGATATGCCACTGTCCAGGAGGCTCATGGCACTCTGGTGCACACACAGCTCTGAACAATGCCTACTTTTCTTACTTCTGACACCTGTGCTCCCTTCATCCATGGAACACTCAGCTATGGCTAAATCTTTGCGGTCCCTCTTTTTTCACTGCTACATCATAGTTCAGATGCTCACTCCAGCTTGTCTGGACTGGTACAACACCTGTCTAGCTGGTGCCTCTACCACTAGCTGCTCTCTGTATGCCTCAAACCATCCAATCATTTGACAGCCTGTTATATGATAAAAAGACTATACTCGGGCTGGGGATTTAGCTCAGTGGTGCTGCTGCCTGTCTTGCAAGTGCTAGGTCCCGAGTTTGAGCCCTGGTACCAAAAAAAAAAAAAGACGATAGATACTAAGAACAGAAGAGGGAAAACATAACTGGAATACAGGTAAGTGAAAGGTGAAATATAGGATGACAATCGCCATAATTTAAGAAAGAAGAGACAAGGAAGAATCACTGTTCTTAGCATAAGTTAATCAGGACAGAGAAGAAAGAAATGATCAAAAACAACCTTATAGAATCAATAGCAATAGCACTCAGGGAGCCTTGTGGGATAAGTGGGAGAAGCAGGAATGTCCAGCATCCATCAGTCCCCAGATCGCCCCACCTCTGAGAGTACACTGGGTTATGCCTCCTGTACTAGTCAGAGGTAAATGAGCAGAGGATCAGAGCCAGTTTATTTGGTCTCTTCCTCCTGCCACCATGACCAACAATATCCCAGATGGAAGAGTCTCCCATGCCTGAGCCACCAAGGCAGGCTCTCCTGGAGCACAGCCCTCCCACTAAAGCACAAGAGACAGGTAACCTGAGCAAGAAGAAACTCCCCTGAGAGTTTGGAACGGCTTGTTAACACAGCATAACCTACCCTATGCTGGCTGCATGGCAACACACAGATGGCAGGATGTGTGGGGTAAGGATGTTCTGTGGCTCTGGATAATGGGGAAGCATGGGCAAAGCCAAGGGCCAACCCTAGAAGGCAGGCTAGAAAGGAGCAAACCAACAATGGGAAACTAGATTAAAAGAGTAGGCTATGAAAATAGGCAGTTGTGAACACTAGGCAAATGAATGATCCTGCACAACAGAGTCGTATATTAGATGAAGCAGCAGCAACTCATATGATGCTACAACTAGTGAGAGGTAAGAAAAAGAAAAAAGGCTGGATTGGGTCAGGAGCAGGGGACATAGCAGAGACATGATAAGTTATACAGGCAGTAGGATTCATAAATCACTAAATGTCCAGGGCAAAAAAATAGAAAAACTACATTCAACTCAGAATCCAACTAATCAGGGCCACATGTGGTGGTGCACATCTGTAGTCTTGGCACTTGGGAGGCTGAGGAAGGAGGATGGCTTGAGCCCAGGAGTTTGACACCGGCCTGGACAAGACCTCATCTCAAAAAACAAAGCAACCAAGAATCCAAGTAACGAGGAAAGTGGCTTCCTAATGAAAATGGAAAGGAATGGGCTAACAGAGTAGAGCTATTACTTCAAATGTAATATTTCAATTTGCAGCAAGTCAGAATAGCTGGCATCATTTCCTGGGTGCTCACCATAAGCCAGGCACTTCACCAAGGGCTTCGCGTGCAGCAGCCCTCACAGCTCTGTGAGACAGCAGGAAATGTGGGCTGGGCCCCGGGTTGGTGGGGCACTAGAAGATGAAGATTAGTCATCCTCATGCGAATCTGAAGTGTGGTAAAACTGCTGTGGTAGCTGCCAAGGGGAGGGAAGACAACGACAGATGGCCTTCAGGGAACACCAAACAACACTGACAGGAAGGAGGAGGGAGAATCCAGCTTACCAAGAACAATGATACTTGGGGCTGGGGATTTAGCTCAGTGGTTCTGCCGCCTGCCTTGTAAACACAAAGACCTGAGTTCGATCCCTGGTACCAAAAAAAAGAACAATGATACTTGAAAGGGGGATGAGCATAGGGGTAAAGATCAGAATGTACAAATCTGCCAAAATGAGATCAGATAATTTTATAAAATGGTGGAAAAAAGTGATGACTGTGATGGTGAGAAGGTCCTGCGTACAGGTGCTGGGGACCTTGGAGAGCACCTTTTCCAGAGCAGCAAAGGCAGAAGAGGCAAGGGGTAAACAACAAGCAGAAACAAACACACAGATCACCATAGGAGGAGAGGGGTGTACGTGAAGAGAAAAATTAATCCCAAACAATCGTTTGAAGACAGTGGAAAGCAAAAGATAGCAAGATGTTCACAGACCGAGGTAGGAAAAGGGGCAGCAAGGAGACCAAGATGACAGAGAAAAGCCTTGTCCTGGCATGGGAGGGGCAGGAGTGCAGGTAAAGTCAGCATGGGTGCCAGGAGGAGGTCAGTCAGAAAACAAAACTGCACGAGGTGGGTCCCAGAATCCAAACCCCAGGCTCTGCTCCCCTACTGCCTAGCACATGGCATAGCACAAACAAGGCAGTCACAATTCTGTCCCTTTAGACTTCATTCCCTATGTGTAAGGGCAATGGACCACTCTACTCTCCAAGATCCTCTTCCTCACTGTCATGGAACTCACCACCCCCCCAAAATCAGAGCAGCCACCGCCATCAGGACCTGCCTCTCTCACTGCTGAAATCCAGCCACCTGGCAAAGCCCAGAAAGTTATTCTCAGCCCCCCAGATGATGAGTCTTTCTCCCATCAAATGGCACAGTAATTGCATGCTTTCTCAGCAACAACAACAACAACAAAATCACATTTTCTTTTATTCCAAGTTGTGTGTGGATCTTTCTTATCCCAAAATTAGATTCTAAACTTCTTAAGACATGGAACCACTCATCTGCATCAACATCTTTGTCCTTGAGGACAGCTTTCTACACAGGTTATCAAGTAAATGCTAAAGGAATGCTCAAGATTTGGCTTTGGGGCATCATCACAAATATAGTTCCAACACTGAAGTAATGAAGTGTTTAAAATTTTATGATGGGAAGACCTGAGGCAGGGAAAAACAGAGTGAGACGGGGGCATCTTTTTCCTGAAAACAATAAAGAACTTTCAAAGGCCAGTTTGGGTGGGAAAATCCCCCAGAAGTTCCCATTGGCCAAATTTGGGATTACCTGAGCATCGAAACTTTAAATTACAAATTCTTACCATATATTCAAGAACCTGAACGTACTGGCTTATTCTCTGACTCCAGGATGACTACAATCATGACAGTTTTGGGTATAACTTCAGGCAGAAGCTATCCAGGTTTGAGGATATCTTCATAGACTTATTCATGGTAATAACTGTGCAAGGCTTTGCAGAGTTAGTGTACTTTACCTTGGGAAGAAGCATATGGCTCTGTATAGTGTCCATTATAATGCAGCTGGGGTGGGGGAGGCATCACATAGGGCTGGGGTTTAGGCTAAGAAATGGAAAGTTGGACACAGGGTTAAAACACATTGCCTATGTAATAGAGGTAAAGTAATTCTTTTCTGGATTCTTTCCCTCCATTAAAAAAAAAAAAGAGGCTTCTAAAGGAGTTGAATATATTATATATGGAAAATAAACATGACACAGGTCTTACCATATGTATCATTTTCAATGTTCCCTACAATGGCAATGCTAAGCCCTGTGCAGTGATAGTAAGGATATTAAACAGCACAAGAAGATCTGCACTCAAAAGGTAAGAGCAAGAAGGAGCGGCTACAAATGTCCTTGTATAAAGACACGAATATAGGAAGTTTATATGTATTTTATTTAATCATATTAGACAAAGTTATCGAGTAATTTAAACATCTACTAGCTTATGCTTACACTTGGCTAACAGTTCAAATTTATAACATTTGATTGGACCTAATACTTGAATATGTACAATATAATAAATCTTAGGTTGAACTTAGGAAAAATCATTTTTTTTCTTTAGATAAAAATGAAGTATGAACACAACTTTATGGCTCAAATTCAAAATTAACACTAACCAGAGTGAATTTTATTAAGGCAAATGACACTGCTAAAAGAAAAGAAAAGAAAAACAATCGATTTTTCTTCTTACCAGAGACATCCTCGAGGATGACCTCCTCCTGATTGGGTTCACTGTGACAGTCTGAGTTTGCCTGTGAAACAAGACAACTGTGAAAAGAGCGCACACACTTCCTAATTCTATCAAAACAAATTAAGATATAGGAAGGTACAGAGAGAAGTCTTCTAAGGTGAAAAGACAAACTGGTCCAGTCACAAGTGAAAAAACGAAAAAGTGATTTGGTGTCATCCTGTGGGGCCTTGACTTCTTCGGGCCCAACCATGCTCTGGGGTATTATTCCCGGGACCACCAGAGAGGGCGCTGTAGCACCTTCTGCCGACATCTTATTAAGGCAAGTCTTGCAGCGCGGCCATGGCAGGGTGGGAGGACTCCGCCAGCAAACTCAACCAGGGCTTCTCTGTGGTCTGGGTTAGCACTGAAAGTCTCCAGTAACAGTCCTGCCCGCAGTGAATAGCAGCTGCTGGCAGCCCAGAAGCCGAAAGCCATGGACAGTGGCTTAATTAACCACAAACCACAAACACAAGGAAAAGACAAGTATAATTTTGGTAGGGCCAGGGATTTAGCTCAGTGGTGCAGCACCTGCCTTGTTAAGCGCAAGGTCCAGGGTTCGATCCCCTGGCCACCAAAAGAGCAAAACTAGATAATTTTGGTGATGGGTCTTGTATTTCTCTAAGGAACCCTTAGAGAATTGCGAAAGCAAAAAGTAAGAGAAGTCAGTTCAATAGGCCTGTGACGAACCCATTTACCTTTGCGCGTGTGTGTGTGTGTGTGTGTGTGTGTGTGTATGTGCGCGCGCGCGCGCGCGCGCGGGCATGAAGAAACTCCTCTCTGGTTTTTTTGTTTCTTTTTAAAGCAACCAAGACTAGTAAGGAGTGCTGACTGATATTACCTGGTATTTCTGAATTTAAAACTATTCCTACAAGTTTCATCTTTGAATAAATGGGTTTTTTTTAAAAGGAACAAAATCAGAAAAGCCCATTTGTAACTATTGTTTTCAAATAGAGGCAGTTTTTTTTTTTTCTTGTGTGTTTCAGTTTTATTGCAAATAGGTTTGGAACCTAGAGACACTGAATTCTTGGCTTTCTGGAGGACTTAGGTAATTTTGTCAAAGGACTTTTTAAAAATCTTTTTACTATCTGTTCCTTGCTTATGAACTTATATGACACATTAACTAGTGATTACAAGAATATCCTTTGGCCTTTGGCTAGTGTCCTAAGTACTAGAAAATCCACTTTTACAAAGTGAACAATGAATCTATTTCATCAACAAGTTAAATAATAATATGAAGCCTCTTGTCTTCTAAATTAACGTTATTCATCTGGGCACAGTGGCACATGCCTGTAATTCCAGCATTCTGGGTGGCTGAGGCAGGAGGATCACAAGTTCAAGCCCAGCCTGGGCAAATTAGTGACTTAGTAAGACCTTGTCTTGAAATAAAAAAATAAAAAAAGCTAGGGGTACAGCTGAATGCAAAAGCCCTGGGTTCAATACCTAGCAGCACAAAAATAAGTAGATATATAGATATTATTCTTAGCACTCTGATAACTGCTATCTATACTCAGACTCTAAATATTGACTTATTTGTACAAGACTTTTGAGACAAAAAGAAAACTAGCAGATATGAGACACAACACCAGGTGACTAAATTACTTTTACTGGTGACTTCTTTGAATAATTTGTCACTGGAAAGTGTTCAGATTGTTTATGAAACGCAGATGTCTGCTTTATGAAGGATGCTTCCTCCCTCCAGCATTCATGTTAGCAGGACTATGCCTGCGCTTTAACTGCACACAAGATGCTGCCATTTCTGGCTTTGAAATTTACTTTGCTTCTCGTTATCCTCTGTGGTTGCAGCTAGGGTTAGGTAAATGGGGTTCTTTGAACTTTATGTATTCTATTAGAGACTACTATGTAGATGTACTGAACTCATAAAAATACTGTAAGTTCAAAAATGAGAAGAAAGAACTGCTGACAGATTTCACTGTCAACAAATTCCAGCAATATCCAGTCACCTGCGTGTGTTCAGCACAAAACCCAAGGACACAAAGCCCAGGAGCTCAGGCGGCAACTCCCCCAACGCTATCTATTCAGGCATCTTGCCCACTGCAGAAGCCGGTTCTGCTGAACACAAGACAAACCTGTAGGTCTCCTACCTGCCAGATGGTTCATCCTGTGCAGCCTCACCTTTAGTTCTAATGGTCTGACCCCTTCTTTCTCCCTGATGCTGCTGCAAGTGCAGTGTAAACTAAGAGCCACCTCCATGACCTCACACAGCAGAGAAAACAGTGTGGCTGTTGACTGTGCTTTTGAAACTTTTGGGGTGGTTTCTATACTGATGAGTGCTGCTAAAATAAGAGGCAGCTGAAAAGAACTCTTAGAAGTCACTGGGAGTGCTGGGGATTTAGCTCAGTGGTGTAGCTGGTTGCCTCGTAGGCGCAAGGTCACAAGTTCAAGCCCTGATACCAAAAAATTAAAAAGATAATAAGTCACTGGGGCACAGGTACTGGAGAAGACAATAAAAAATGGCTTCCAGTCCAAGTGACATAATTGATATTGCCTACTGAAAGTGTGCTGAACATTGCTGATTATCTCATGGAATCTAAGCGCCAACCCCATAAGGGAGATCCAGTTAGGATGATGATTTTATGGATGAAGAAACTGATACTTAGATGAAGTAAGTTGCTCCTGGTCACATGGCACACAAGTGGCAGAACCAGCATTTGAACAAGCAGGTCTGTCGGATTTCTGGGCATGGGCTCTGACTACTGTTTGTCTAGCAGCTTCCTCAGTTCCAGGGAATCTGAAAGAAGACATACCACGGCATCACTGTGCCCAGCACACTACCTGTCTCACAAGGAGGCCCTCGGTGTGAGGGATGAGCGTGTTGGACAAACGAATGACAGGTAAGTGGGAATGGAAGCAGATGTTCCTTAGTGAGCACTTACTGTTGAGCTTAACCTTCTAGGAATGTCTGACTTTGCTTTGTGAACTTCCTTTCAGTCACTTGTCTGTTTTTAGCTCCTGAAGGGGAGATTAAGGATGAGAAAACATGTTGGATAGCAGAAATACCTAGGATGTTTGTCTCAAATGATTTTCCTGAAGAACAAAAGCTCTTCTTCCTCCCCACTCCAGGGTGGGCCAGGGCTGCTTCAAGAACACCAGTCTGGCTCTGGGATGCCTGCTCCCATTTTCCTCCCGTACTTCCGGTACAGATCCCTGGCTTCCTGGACAGGAGAGGGGCAAAGCTGGCAGAGATCACCTCAGGTAACTGGAACCACTAATGGTGGGAGGGAGCAGTTTCATTCTAGCAACATGACATAAGCTTTTCAAGAGTGACAGCAACCTTCATGTGAACAGGGACCAGCTCAGAAAGGGAAGCTGCCTTCCTGTGAGACAGGGACTTAAAAGCTGCAACTTTTGCTGAAAAGCACTGACTCTTCACATACCAGTGAGTAACTAAAAGGATAAAGGTTGGTATTTCTGCCCTCATTTTGCACCTGTACCCTTTATTACTCTAAACTGTGGGTCAGATGCCTGCTCACCTCTGTAAGCAAGCATGTCAGTTACTGAGTGTCTATCTAAACAATGGTTTGTAAGCCCTACATTACCTAATTTGTCTCACCCCGCCTTCAAGAGAGAGGATACTCAGATAAGAGTAATAAGCCATACTCAAGATATGGCAGGGACATTCAGTCACCAGCATTTACCACATCCTGTTCCGGATTTCCTGAAACAACTCCTAGAAGTCTTCAGTCACTGTCCTAAAGCTGCAGTCACCTTGGATTCCAGCAGAACATCAGCAGACAGATCACCCTATGATGAGCTCACCTCCCTAAGCAGGAATAATTACCCTATGATGGGAACTGAGGTTGCCCCAGTAGGCAGGAGAATCATCCCATGGGAACCAGAAGGAATAAGGACTTCTCTAGGCCATACTGCAGAACCAGAACTGAGATAATGATCAAAAAGACCTGAGCCTACCTCAGCAAGCTGATTCAAAGCTAGCCCCTGCCCCTTCAGCTCTTCTTCTCAAGCTAGAGTCCTTTCCCAGTTTTTCTTTCTTTTCAATCAAAGCTTTTGCCTATGAATTTGTAACTCTTTGCCTTAGATTTAATTTCTATTATTGCTGAGGCAGAAGTCCCCTCATGTCCAGTACCAGCACTCCCCAAGCCCTGTTTAAGAGAGGGAGACACCCCACTGTCTTGGGGCTGCTCCACAGTCTCCTCCCCCTCTTACCACAGGGCTCCTTCCCATGAATCTGTGGGAAGCGCGGTGCTCTCTCCACACCTCTGGGGTCCCAGAGGACTGGGTGGGGAGAGTGTTGCTCCATCATCTCGGGTCCACTATATTAGGCTGAGAAGGAGATGGGGAAATCCTTCTCCCCTTCCAAGAAGGGCCTATACCAGTCAGTCTCCTGATCACAAAGTCCCCAGAAGAGGTGGACACACACTGCAGGGGATGCTCGCCAGCCCCTCACTATAGGCTGCTGGCTGAAATCCAAGTTTCTCCACAGAAAGTCTCTTGGGCTTGGCTTTGCAGGCTGAGGGACACAGTCCACAGAAAGAGGTGAGAAAAGCCCCCACACCAAGATTCCCTTCCCTCCATCTTTTTCTCATGTAAATCAAGGAAGCTGATGAGAGTTTTGGGGGTTAAGGAGGTTGATTACAGTTCCAGGGTTTGTTGTGGGGCAGAAGGAATTGGAAGAAGCTTTCTGACCTTATTGACAATATCATTTAATTCTTCAGTTAACCTTAAAGGAATATTATAAATGGTCCTACTGTCCCCGTTTTATAAATTAAACAAACAAACAAAAAACCAAAGGGAGACTCTTAGCTGATGGTTTTAAGGCTTGTGTGACCTAAAAGATGATTCTGTAATCTGAAGTACCTTGTTTACAGATGAGAGTGGGAAAGATTGTTGATTGGGCCGTTGGATAAATATCAAAACTGTGAATACTGAACTGTAGTTTCCTCAGGGTTAGGTGAGTCACCTCAGGCCATCCACCACACCATTAGGTTCTGGGTTAGGCCTGGAGGGAGGGAACTCGGTAGGAGTCAAGTCCACCTTTCTGTG